GAAAGAAAGAAAGAAAGGGAAGGAAGGAAGGAAGGAAGGAAGAAAGAAAGAAAGAAAGAAAGAAAGAAAGAAAGAAAGAAAGAAAGAGAAATCTGGGGGCTCAGTGGGTAAAGTGCTGGCTGCTGGCAAGCATAAAGACCTGAGTTTGGCTCCCCAGCACACATGTAAAAAGCCAGGACTGACTGAAATTCCAATGCTGGGAGGCAGACACAAGAGCCTTGATCCTTGGGTCTTGCTGGCCAGGGAGTCTGGCCAGTGAGTCTAGCCAATCCTTGGGCTCCAGGTCAACCAATGAGAGACTGTCTCAAAATACAAGGTGGAGAGCAAGGGAGGAAGTCTATCCTCTACTGCACTCACACACACCCACAAAGAAATTTGATGAGTTTGTTTTTTAAACACACAGTGCAATAAACACTGACATCTTCAAGGCAGTTAAGGAATCTTCAGTTGGTCTTTGTTATAAAACTAATTTTAGCTGGATATGGTGGTGCACGCCTTTAATCCCAGCACTCTGGAGGTAATGGGCAATAGATTTCTGTGATAGAGGCCAGCCTGGTCTATATCATAGTGAGTTCCTGGCCAGCTGGGGCTACAGGGAGACCCTGTCTCAAAACACCAAAGCAAAACAGAAACTAATTTTTGGGCAGGATGCTGGCAAAGTAGACAATTCTGCCTCCAACACAAAGGAGTCTGCTCATGTCAGCTGCATTAAACCTTTGCTTAACTAACTGCAGTGCCTTTTGATTTCTAGAGTTACTGAGTTACTGATACACAACAAATTCTCACCCCAGTCCCCCAACCTCTCTCTTCAATCACTATTGCCCTCTGAGAATCACAATCCATGTTTGTCCAGTCTTCAAAATAGTATTCTCAGATTCCCTTCAAGTCCAATCCACACAGCAACCAGATCTATCGGATCAGGTCACGGTCCCCAATTGAAGCCCTCGAAGGACACAAAGTTCCAAAATCCTTACCCTGGCTTCCAAGATCCCTGTGATCCATCTGATCCTTCCTTCTAGTGCTAAAATTTACAGAGCTTTTTCTCTCCTCAAAGCCTACACATTTCCTCATCCCTCAATTGGGGGGTGGGGGGGGGAGGAGGATCTTCCCTAGACTCTTAAAGACTCACTTCAGGATTCAACTTCCATGTCGTCACCTTAGAAAAAGAGTTTTCCTTGAAATCACCCTAACTCATCCAAATTATTCCCTATCAGGACACTTTGCTTATTTCCTCTTACCACCTATTCTTTTTCATTCTTTTTGACTACTACGTCTACCCCGAAGACCAGAAAAGTCAGGCGCGAAGAAATTGGGTCTACCTTGCTCAGCCACAGGCACGTGCAGCTTCCGCAGCGCCATCCCTGCAAACTGGCACTCCGAGGGCGCTTTAAGAGGTCGTCACTGGGATGCAGGAATGGACTACAGTGCCCCATGCACCACCCCAGAAATAAACATCCCAATGGATCCCAGGTCTCGCCCACCCTGCACAAGGCCTGCCCCGCATCTGCACATCTCTTTCCCCAAGCACACATCTGTCGCTCAGGTACACCCGGGTCTGCCGTGCCACACCCCAGCCCGCCTCCCAGGCGCGCGCCTCCCATCCTCGCCCTGAAGGGCTCAGGCCCTCGGCGTCCCCGCGCTCCCGCGTGTCTCCCCTCGGCAGCGCCTCGGCCCTCACCGATCACCTCCTGCAGCTCGTAGTCGTCCCTGTTGATGGACCAGGGCAGGGCGCTCGAGTCCTCGGACATGACGGCTGCAGCGGCTCTCTGCGCGCTCGTTCAGACTCGCTGACCTCTCCCGTCGACTGGCCGCGCGGCTCCCCACCCCCAACCACCGCCGCCGCGCCCCCACCAACCGCCTGGAGAAGCCTGGGCTCGCACGGCGCCGGGGCGCGGAGGTCAAGCGCGGCCCCGCGGCGGGAACACTTGGCTCCCGCAGACCTCGCCTTTTGCTCCTCCGCGACAAGCACTCTCCGTTCCGGCTCAAGACGCAGCCTCAGTCTCCACAGAAGCCGCAACACAAGATTCTCTTCTCGCCCTGCCCCTCCGTCCCGCCCTCCACCCGAGCCCCACGCACAGGCCAAACTTTCCCTTCTCCCTCCACCTGCCGGCACGCAGCGCGCTGAGGTCACCACGTCGGGCACGCCGCTCCTCGGCACGCCCGCCTCTAGCCGCCATCTTAAGTGTGGCTGTACACGCAGAGAGCTAGGAAGACGGAAAAAGTGGAAGGTGACAGTTACAGGGAAGAAATACTTAAGAAGGAGCTCGTTGAGGGAGTCTGATAGCGAAATAAAAGAGCAAAGGTACCACAGAATGAGTAACCACATTAAGCGTGGCAGTCAGAGTGAAAAGTAGAGGGGCGGGGCCACTGGTAGCGGCTGACAACGTTGCGGTCTCCGTCTCGCTTTCATTGGTTAGTTTGAGGAAGCTTGAGACGGGCAACCAGAGGGCGTGGACGTCAGTCGTATGCTGGTCCCGCCTCCAGGCGTTGCTCGCGCTTCTCCGCAGTAGCGCTAGTCCTTCAGGACTGGGATCTCTGCGTTGATGTCACGACGTAGCCGTCACACCCTTGAGACGCGCCAACCGCTCCTTAGGGTGTGGAGGTCTTGGGAGCGGGTGGGTGGGGTAGCCTTGGACCGCGGGCTACCGCCATCTAGGATTAAAGGTCTTGTGGGCTCCTGGAGTGGAACCGGAAGTTTGCCCCGTGACGACAGTTTGTTTTTTTTTTTTTCTACTAAGGTAGAAATTCTCAGAAGCCCGGCCTCCGGGGTAGGTTTAGCTTCAGGTCTGGACGGAGTGCGCACCTGCTTGGGGACCGCCGGGGTGATTCCCGACGGCGACGCCCAGGGCCGCGAAGTGCGAATCAGTCACGCGGTGAGGGGTCATCTCAAGGGCCTTTTGTGTACTCACAGAGCTAGCCTGTTTCGGTAAAGGGGGAGAGGGAAAAAGGGGGGGGGGAGCATCAGTCCGAGCAGCGATTGAACGACAGCTCTTCCCCCTCCGCCAAGCCGTGGACACCCCATGCTGAGCTCTCTAGGGAGTACACCAACTGCTTAGGTTTCCTCCTAGTTGGTAGGGCTGGAGAACATCTCTTGGAAGAAGTGGTATTTGTGCCAGACCTTACAAAGCTCACGTGATTTCAACAAGTAGACAGAATATTCCAGTCTCAGCAAGGTGTAAGAATCCAGAAAGTATGGCCCAGACCTTGCTGTATAAAATGGTTTCAGCCATTACTAATGGCACATTTACTGCAAGGGCTGTTTTTTTTCTTACTCTAAGGAGTGCAGGTAGAATTCCCAAGGTTTGTACCGATAGGAAGACCGATATGCAAGAAATAACAGAATTGTAGGCTCTGTGGACCACAGACGGACTTCGTTTTTTTATTTTTCATTCCCTTGAAATTATATATACAAAATGCAGATTTTAGGACTGTTCATCCCTTCTTCCCCTTCCCGCAAGAAAAAGAGCTACCAGTCTCCTAGTGAAACAAAGATATTATTGGTTCCACATTCTTGTTGAAGATCGCTATACATTAACAGGTTTTTGTTCACCTCAACACATATACTTCGTGGATTAGAGCCAGAACCTGCTCTGTAGATCTGGCTGTTTTATTTCCTCTGTCCCGATTTTCCCTCTGCGACCTGACAGGTTACAATACCATGATTTTTTTTTTCACCTTTTATTTAAGGGGAGGGGCATGTGCATGTCTGGGGTGCACATGCCATAAAATTAAAGGACAACTTCCAAGAATTGGTTCTTTCCACTATGTAGGTCACAACAAAGGCAGGTGGACCAGGCTTTACCTGACACCTTGCCAACTAAGCCACCTCCCTAACCCCAATATCGTGATTTTAATGAGCAAGGAATTGACTGATGTCACCAGCCCAAGTCTCAGCCCCTTTCTCAGCCTGTGGACCATCCTCCATGTGAGTACCATCATGACACAGTGGTGACTAGAGAGCATTCCTCTTCATGGAAAATACAATGTTTTTAAATTTTTTATTTTTATTTTATGTGTATGTGTGTATTGCCTGCATGTGGGTTAGTGCACCCTGTCGTGCAGTGCGCTCAGAGGTCAGAAGAGGCTGTTGGGACCCCTGGGACTGGAGTTACAGACAGGTGTTAGCTGCCATGTGGGTGCTGGGATTCGAACCCCGGTCTTCTGCAAGAACAACCAGTGTTCTTAACCATTAAGCCATCTCTCCAGCCCCAGAAAGTACAATTTTTGTAAAGAACAGTAGACTGCTGTGATAAAATGAGAGGGACTTTTTTTTTTTTGGAGGCAAGATCTCACTATGTAGTCCCATCTGGCCTGCATTTGCTATGTAGACCAGCAGGTCTCCAGAAATCTTCCAGGTCTTTGGTGCCTGCTGAGGGACTGCTGAGGCATCCAGCCTCCTGGACTGAGCAACTACTGGATTCTCAGCCTCTAATGTGAGACAACCACAGTTGTACTACCCAGAACATATCCTGTAAGAAAATCTAATAAGTTCCCTTTATATACATATTCTAATTTATTCTATCAGTTCTGTTCCTTTAGAGAGCACTGAGTAATACAACTGCTAAGTAAATTAATAGGTAAATAATTAGAAATCACAACGTAACATGAAGGAAAAGTGATGGCAAGTAGTTAGGGAGCCAGCCATATTAAGTATGCTTTAAACACTTAGTAGTTTTAAGCATTTTTGAAACTACTAATAGTTTTACTCTGTTTATGCTTCTTATGGCCTCGTCATTAATCATTTGGAGGAGGAAGGGAAAGGAAACATTGATGGTTCTAGAACCCTGACTCATATAAAAATTTCCCCAAATGAGGAGTATGGCATATTTTCCCAGGGAGAGAAATGTCGGCAGTCCAGCCGTGGGGGATCCTAAAACGAGCGGGAAGGGTAGGGGATGAAGGAAAAAAGACTCAGAAACAGCTGGGATCAGGAGGACCTGCAGGCTGATGACCAAACAGGAACTTTATTTCAGGATAACAATGCTTTTTCATACTTTGCCTCAAAGCAGGAAAGAATCTACTGTAGAAATATAGCACAAACCCACAAGTTCCTTTAAACCAGGCAGTTTCAATCATCAGTTTCATTAATCACATGTACTTGTGTTAGCAGTAGCCAAGCAGAACTTACAAGACAAAGGCATGTACCTGGGAACAATTGCATTTATCATATATAATTGTATACGCAACACCCAAGCAGAACTACTAAGAGAAACACATGCACCTGGAGACTGAGTATCACAGACTGACCTGTACAGGTTTAGCCCTGGGTCAGCTAGGACAGGCCTTGCCAATATCCTGTTAGCTGCTCTCTGGGGGCCAAACTGCCTGTGCCTTGACCCTGGGTCAGCCAGGATAGGCCTTGCCAATATCCCGTTGGCTGCTTTTGGAGGGAGGAGGGGGAACAGGCAATCTGCACCTGACATCCCTGAATATTCAACTTCCAACAGAGAAAACTTGTTTTTATCCCACGTTCTCAAAGGCATCCTTGTATTCATTTATATACTTCCCTCTTAATCAGGCTCTGAGACAGGAATCTGAGTACATAGTTTATTTACATGACCCTAAGATGTCCTCTGAGGAAATGGAGAATTGAACAGGGAGGGCATGATGGCACACACCTTTAACCTCAGCAATTGGGAGGCAGAGGCTGGGGGATCTTTGTAAATAGGAAGCTAGCTTGGTCTGCATAGAGAGTTCCAGGCCAGTCGGAGCTAAATAGTGAGACCCTGTCTCAAAAACAAAAAAGAGGTGTTACTGTTTGGGTGCTGGATTTAACCTGAAAAACTACAAATTACATCTCAGAATTGTTCCAAAAAGAAAACGAGACAAGGAAGGAACAAGGATGTGACTCAGAGAATAGCCTAGCATACATGAGGCTGAATCCCCAGGATCAAACACACACACACAAACCAAGGGGGGGCGAGAGACAAGAAAAATAGTAACCCTAAACTCCTTTTCCTCTCTACGGTATTAACTCTGCTGTACCTGTCCTCAGCCCAGTGTTTGGAAGAGCATGCTCCTAAGGTCAGAGAGTATACACAGGCAGGCACAGATATTCCTCATGTACCAAGACTCTGAAAGTAAACTGCAGTAGGCCCAAAGAATATGCATGTGTGTACAAAGCATCTACCATCATGTATAAGCCTAAAACATCACTGTCGAGACTGAGAATGCAGCGGGGAAAGTATATGCATGCTGTGCCCTCTTACTGTTGCCCTTAAGTAATTGCCTGCTTTGAGTTTTGTTATTAGCACCTACAGGATAGAAAGGAAAAGACTGATTTCAAGAGGAGTGATATCTTTGGTAATCACTAGCAGGTAATTATGTGCCTATAGTAATTCAAGTTTTATAGGCTTCTTTAATGAAAGAAACTGCATTTGAAGTCTAGAAATTAATGGGTACCCATGTGAGAAAGCTTTTTTTTTTTACTCTTTCTGGCAGTACTAGGGATTGAACCTAGGGCCTGACACATGCTAAGCAAGTGCTGAACCACTGAACTACAGCCCTAGCCGCTGAATGTGTGTTTGTATATACATAAACATTTTTGTTTTGTTGTTTCAAAATGGTCTCCCAGTAGACCCAACTGGCCTGGAACTCACTATATAGACCAGGCTTGATCTCAATCTCAGATTCGCCTGGGTGGCTATCTCTCAAGTTATAAGATTAAAGGCCCGTGCCACCAAGCCCAGCTGAATATATTTTTTAAAGCACAATTTTTTTTGTCTCTCTCATGAGCTGATTTTTCTCAATTCCCTGTCAGTAGTATCAGGAACAATTACAGACTGCTGGAATCTGTTCCCTATCAGCAGGTCCTTATTACATGTCACACGAAATGTGATGTTATCCCTTCTTATGGGAAGGGATTGTCCTAGTTTGTTTCTTCATTGCTGTGACAAAATACTCTGACCAATACCAACTTGGGGAGGAAAGGATTTATTTAGCTTACATATCCCAGGTCACAGTTCATCCTGGAGCCCAAGGTAGAAACTCGGCAGGAACCTGGAGGCAGAAGCTGGAACACAGGCCATGGAGGAACACTGCTTACTGGCTTGCTCCCCTGGCCCCTGCTCAGCTTGCTCTCTTA